GCATTTTGTGTGTTTTCGTTCTCATACTAATATTTTGCTCTAGGACATATTTCAAGTTTTTGAGAGGTATCAACTACAGAAAATATACAATTACATGAAAGTTTGCAGTTTTACAAATAACAATTATATGCCGAATGTATGTATACATTTCTAAACGTGAGAAAAGGATGAATACATTTTAGTCTGCACATTGTCACCATGTTTAAGTATTAACTAATTTTATCTAGCAATGCAAGGTTTGAAAAATTAGGTTTTTTTAATGTGGTTTTATTCAAAATTTTTGCTGCTGTCTTTAGCACAATGATATGCCTTTCAACAATTCTTAAAATTAATTCTTGTACTAAAATTGCAAGTAAGTTAATGAATTATTTTAAGTGTCAAGTTTTAAAATATTTAAATTATTAATAATTATGGAGAAGACATATGACTAAATGCAATTAAATAATTTTTGCAATGCTAGGTGGCATGAGTTTTAGGTATGATTATATACAGAACATGAAACATTACGACAATAAAGAGAATGACTTCAAACAATTACGTAAGTACAATGTTTTTTAACTAGAAATATATTATTGGCAAATAAATAAAATAGAAATGAAATCAAAACAAAATCTAATTTTGGAAGATTGTCACAACTGGATATGTCACAGCCTCTGTTAAAATTTTAAAATATACGTTAACGACATTCAATGAGAAATGTTGCCATTATCAAATATATGAAATTACAGATTGGTTTTTGACAGCAACTGATCTGAAATTACAGAGAGAGTAAAAATAAATCCGGAAAATTTGAAAACTAGAAATGAATACCTTCCTATAAAAAAGACTTGAGTAATTGATTCTATTAACATATTGTACACAGAAACCACTTCACTAGATTGACAAAGAATGCTATTATTTTAAAATTAAAGATGTAAGTGAACAAATAGAATTAAAATCAGTAAATTAATTTATTATATTTGATCTAAAGAGATAATATGAATTAATGATTTTAAGAGACAATTACCAACAATGCTTGCAATCTTCAGAATCGTAAGAATACTTTTAAAAATGCTAGACTCCAAAATTCATTTAGTGTATATGTGAGTAGTGAATTATACTCATATGCCCGCATCTCTTATAAGGAGACTTTTAGTCAAGCTTCATTTTGCCTAATATTGAAGATTCATATACAATATTTGTAAGCAAAAAAAACCTTTGAAATGTGTCACGACCTTAGTTCAGATTTTACTTACATTCTATTGAAATTGAATTCTGGAAGAAATCAATATTTCTTTCAACAAATATAAATTTAAGCACAAGGAACCCTTTTGAATACTCAAAACACTACATTATTTTTTTTAAGGAATCAGAGAAGGGACATTTAATATCCCTGAAAGAACATCAGATTGCTGGACGTTCCACAATTCTCTCCAATTAGAAAATAAAAGGAGAGTTATTTCCTTAATTTAAAAAATTGTTGAACTAGCAAAGATGAATATTTGATGAGCTACAAATACACCAAAACATTGTAGTGCATGATAGTGCAAATATATCACTATCCCCCACTTTTTTCATTTATACATGCTAAATTTTAATGTTAATACTGGTGTGGAACACAGCACAGAACAAAGTAACTGTCATAATTTCTTAAATTCACAAGAACAATACCAAGAAAGACACCATAAGGTGATATTAAATAGGGCCTACCAAGGTTTTCAGATCTGTGATGTTCAATTCAAATCACATGCAACTTTGGTTTATAAAAACTGCCTTCATTTACTCATACTTCACTAAACACACATCCAATGTCCAGTTGCACATCATTTTGTAGTACCCTTTTTATAAACATTCTGCATGTATAATGTTTTCCGCCACTCTTTAATGAATTAATCAACAACTTCTCTGACGAACACACTACAAGTAAGTTTGTATAAACAAATTTACTGTATATAACTGCAATTTACTCCCAACTTTTCCTAACTAGGCAATGGATTCACACACATACATTCGTGTTCGGCAAAATGCAAAACTTGTAATGAATAAAAAATTATTCCTTAAATTTAGATATTTTATTCCAGAGGAGTATAATGGACAATGCCATCACAACAGTTTACCGCTTACGTCTAATTGTATATGGACATTTTCATGGGAAGAAATTCTGCTTGCAACAGATACTCATCTTATTATTACGTCTTTTGTAAACTTAAAGTGTCAAGGGGCATAATTTCCATTGGTAAAGCACTATTTCTCACTCAAAACTACAAAGCACCACAGAGTCCGCGCCTCTAAACTATGCATGAGAGTAGGTCCCGCCAAAGAAGGTTGGGCAACATTAACGTCTCAAATAACATGCCCTCAGCGTTCACAAATGCGTTCTAGCGGGAACCTTTGGCGGGAACCACTGACAAAGAAATGTGATTTAATAGGGTGGTTACAGGACCCACGTGACAGGGTCAACGTCGTCAATGTGTTGGTAAGTATTGACAATCAAACAACGTCTCTGCTATTGCTATACTATATTATTGCTATTGCTATTATTATTGTTGTTATTATTATTATTATTATTATTATTATTATTATTATTATTATTATTATTATTACTAATTCAACCATGCAAACCTCAAACCAAAACACCGGTACGTCACAAATGATTATTATTGTCACAATGTATAAATCGATCGTCACAACTGGAAGACACGTGCCCACAGGTTTATGGGTGAGAGAGACATCATTTTTTTCAGTGCGCTAATCCGAACCCCGCATTTCCAAAATTTCGGATAATTGGAACTGAATTCGAAATGGAGAAAAAGGTAATGAAAAGCACATGATTTGTGTTAACTTAATTTACAAACGAAAAAGCATGAACACAGTCTAAATGATGTAGCAACTAATATCGCATGCAATCGGTTATGCACGTACAGCAGTGGGGAAACGTGAGGTCCACGAACACATTGTAAATACCAAATACTTAATTTATGAAATATCGAATATTACGAAGGTGGAGATCAGAATACTAAAAATATTGTTATGATTACTATTGCTATTGCTATACTATATTATTGCTATTATTATTATTATTATTATTATTATTATTATTATTATTATTATTATTATTATTATTACTAATTCAACCATGCAAACCTGAAATCGAGAATAAGCCTACTGCAGAATTGAAAAAAATGGAAACGGAACTACGGAACTGCTTACTTTTACATTGATGTGTTTTGAAGAGTTTGCGGCCATCTAAATTCTCTGAAGTTTTTTGTAAATCAATTCAAAATATCTTAAAAAAACACTATTTCTAAACATTCCGAACACTGATAGTTTAATAGAAAAGTTTATTTTCTATTAAAATAGCCAATTGAAGAGTCAGTTATTTGACACAGAATTTCGTAAATGTTTTTTTAAAATTATTTTCATTGTGCTCATTGTCAATGAGACCCACTGATTTGCAGTTGCAGGTCAACGACACTTGTAACCTACATACGAAAATGCTATTCAATCAACTTACGAAATTAAATTATACTGATCAGATCCTGTTTGATCTGTCCATAACAAAATATTACTGGGGGATTTACACACTCGCCGCGATACCTACCCACAAGTGCTTAAAATAAACATTTTGTAAATGATCGTGTTTTAATACAATTTAACACAATGCTAAATAATGTGGTAAAAAATGAACATTCTCAATGTTGCACTTAATGCATTAGCGACAGACGAATTCAAAAACTGAAATTTGGAATAAATAAACGTTTTACTCGCGATGTTACTTGAAGTTGCTCAGTGACATGTAGCGGACTTTCCAGGAAGCTCACTCCACGCACACTTTCGGTGAAGATAGCGCATGCTTGCAATAGTTTCTATTACTTATGCAGTCGTAAGGCCGGCCTAATTTCTTCACGAGTCCCCGAGCCAGCATACTCAGTGCGCATGCGCGATCACTTCCCCGCGCCCCGTCTCTGGCTGTCTTACGGCGTTGGGCGAATGAGCCTCGGCATAGCGGCCTCTTCCGCAGCACCGGGGCGGCGAAGACACATCGCATGGGATACGCATAAGAACAGGAAAAAACACTTGGTGCGCGTACGTATGATATTAATTGGCTAAAAAAGGACATTATGAATTTACAATTTTCTTTTTTTTTGTGAAGAAATATTTCTCACCTTTTTCAAAATTCTTAGGGATAGCTCAACTTTGCGTACCCTGACGCTTTGCCATCGGCAAGAAATATCCCTTCACTAAAATAAAGAAGATTGTAAATTCATAATGTTCTTTTTACAATATTTGTTTTGTGTCTTATCCAGAATTTTTAATACCATCGTAACTTACAAAACACCATACTTCCACACCGATGTGTATCACATGTAACAAAATTGACAAAGCTTAGAATAGATATTACGTTCGATCAATTGATTGTATTTTCCGTTCGCGTCAACTCTAACGTCATTGGGTACGTAAGTGTTGTGTGTGCTTTTTATTACGGGAGGTGGTAGTGTTTTCCCCTGCTGGATGACATGATCCGTCGCCGATCTACCCATCGACTAGCAGTATTTTCACCAACCAGATGTTGCTCGCCAACACGATACCGCCCCAGCATAGGCGACTGCTCCCGACTGATTTCCCAAAAAGTGTGATAATGTAGTGTGTGTGTGTGTGTGTGTGTGTGTGTGTGTGTGTGTGTGTGTGAATGTAATTGTGTGTACGTAAGGGGTGAGAATAAAACAAGAGAAAGGAAAGATGGCGCGCGGTCCATGATATTGTACTGCTCCGGCATTCGCCTGGAGTTGGTCAGAGAAACTACGGAAAACTATCGATCAGAGCAGTTGGCCACGAGAATTCTCTCCAGACCGGTTGAATTCGATGTAACTATGTAGCTCGAGTCCAAAATGCAACCACCGTGTGGACTGGAACACCACAAGCTTCCGGTCAGAGGCACTGCAGCAGTTACATCGATTGCACCACAAAGAGCTTTTCCATTTTCTAAAACAGTTACTATTCCTCTTATAAATACAACTTACCTAAATTGAGTAGTCCCATTAATAAAATAATACATCCACTGATGAAACACAAGAGCACAGCATAGTCTGCTCCACTATTTTCGACAGCTTTTTGGCACATCAAAGCAAGAATGGCAGTAGGACCAATAGTGATGTCTTTGCAAGAGCCAAGAATGATGTACACAAACGCCCCCATGAATCCAGAATAGAGACCATACTGTCAAAAAAAGAGTGTCTTTGAGTTACAATACATTACATAGTACTTTCATCAGTTAAACTTAATAGGGTATTGGTTGGTAAGGGTATAATGGAATTGGTAACACGGAAATGAGGTCTTTACAATCATCTCAGTTTAAGAAAGCAAGAATAAAGATTGATGACAGGTAATTCGAATCTTCTCTCTAGTAAGAAATAAAATACTTGATAAAGATGATCAATGTCTCCGTGGTTTGATAAACAGACTGTTTTAAGATCTTTGTGAATAGGAATAAAATAGATCCTCGATTTTCGAGGAAATACCTTCAAAAAAGTTTACTAAAAGGAAAGTACGAAACATGAAGCAGTATTTTCTATTATTACTATTATTATTATTATTATTATTATTATTATTATTATTATTATTATTATTATTATAGCAATGTAAATCCAAATAACTCGTTCCAGTTTCCTACATTTCTGAACCCTTTTGAGCTCCCTTGTCCATTAAACACTTTCATGTAGATTCAGAATAATTTACTAAGAAAAAATAAAGAGAATGAAATTATATATTTATTAAGATATAGAAATATATATATATATATATATATATATATATATATATATATATATATATATATATATATAATTGATATGTGTTTAAACAACTACGTGTTTACCAGATGACTTGGAGAGCTACTTCCTCAAATGTACTGTATCAACTTTCCAAATCGTCTGCAACAAAAATGATTCGATATAAATTTTTTCTGTATTACAACGAAAAATACAATTTGATTAGTTTTTGTTTATATTATTGGATTAGTTTTTCATATATGAGCATAAATATGGTTTCGTTGAAATTCGAAACTTGGATTGTGTAATGTAATGTATTGCGTTATCGGGGGGAAAACCGAGAATTGAGCATAGGCAATTTACGGAAATATAATGTTTTATAAAGAGGGTTACAGGGTCTCTCTCTAAATGTACTGGTGAACCACGACCTTCCTGGCTCCGACTTTGCGCACACTTATGGACGTTCCAACAGCACATATATTCTCGCATTATTTGAAACTTTTGCAATTAGGGAGTTCAATGAAAATGGAATCCAGGCAATTTTTATGTGTACATTCTCTATTCCAGATAAAATTGAAGACAAATTTGGACACGATTTTGAGAACTCTTTTTTCAATTTGCTTTCCTTCCAGTAAACATTACGCGAAAAATACTCGTAGTTTAAAAAAAAAATGTAAATCAACTTATTTAAATATGAGTTTTTAGAACAAATTTCATTAGGGAAAATTTCTCATCAATATGGAGGCACGGCCTGCGGTGACACGACAATAATATCCCTGTAATGGACTGACCTGCACAGGGCATTGACTTGAATCCTATTGAACACCCTTGGAATGTTTTGGAACGCCGACTTTGTGCAAGGCCTCCCCAGCTGCCATTCCTCAGGAAACCTTCCAGCACCTGATTGAAAATGTATGCCTGCGATAATGGAAGCTGTTATCAAGGCCAAAACCCTATGAATTCCAGCATTACCGAAGGAGGGCGCTACGAACTAGCAAATAATTTTCAGCCACGTGTCCAGATACTTTTGATAACATAGTGTATATATGTATATATGTATATATGTATATATGTATATATGTATATATGTATATATGTATATATGTATAAATGTATATATGTATATATGTATCTATGTATATATGTATATATGTATATATGTATATATGTCGTCTCTCTCTCCCCTCCTCTCTCTCTCTCAAGCCCCGCTCTCTCAAGCCCAACCTCCAGGCACCCATGACTCGCGTGGGCGATGACGAATCGGGAACCATCCATCTCCCGAAGGCGACCGCGGATGATCCACCAGCGCAGGACGGGATAAGCCAGCACGTGACAGCGTGTTACTGCGCACCGATAACTGGCTAATGTAGTTCACGGCCAGCGAGAATAATTTCCGTTGCAGGAAACTATGTCTCTTTTCGCGAAAATTTATTAAGTTGAATGGGAGCCGAAACTTCCTCCGCGAAAATCTTAAACGAATGTGCTTTGGGGGCACAACTTCCCTCCGCGAGAATTCTCAAATGAATGTTTTCGGAGCTGGAGCTCTCTTCTCGGAGAATCTAACGTGAGTTTAGTGCAGACTTCCCTCTGCGAGAGTTCTAAGATGAATGCTTTTGAGAGCTGCTCTCCCGAATCATGAAGGCTTTGTACCCCCCTCTTCTCCAGGGAGAATGCTCCCTGGAGTGGAATTTAATTTACCGGAGCGTGGCGTGGCGAAACTTCGACCAATGACTCGCGACTCCTCCTAACAGCCACAAATTTCGTCGTTTGCACCGCGGGCAAGTCCTTTCGCGGCCGGCGAAAGAGGTCGCTGTAACCCCAATTGCGAAACCGCACGCGCGCGCCGAAGTTCGTTGTGCCGTAAATCTGGCTCCCAAATGGGTGTAATTGCCGTCGGCTCTCTTTGACGTGTGGTCGCGTGGGGGAAAGAGTCACCCTTCTTGAGTACTCGGCGGGTCGCGGTTGCCGACAAAAGTCCCCCCTTCAAACGACACGGGGCGCACTATCATGAACGACCCTCGCCTCAATATAGCAGAAAAGAAAGGCGGGGGCGGGTCAGGTATCCACGACTTCCAACTGTCAACGGCCGCGGTAGACGCCTGCGATTTTATTGATAAACATACTATGTTGAATTCGCGGCAGGCCGTACCGTTACAATATTTGTATATCTATATCTGTATCTATATTTATATCTATGTATCTGTATCTATATCTATACTTACATCTACATCTACATCTACAGCTACATCTACAGCTACAGCTACAGTTACAGCTACAGCCACAGCCACAGCCACAGCCACAGCCACAACTACAGCCACAGCCACTGCCACGCCACCTGCCACTTGCACTGCCACTGCCACGCTCCAATCGTCACAACCACAGCCACAGCGACGAGCCACAGCCACAGCCACAGCCACAGCCACAGCCACAGTCACAGTCACAGCCACTGCCACTGCCACTGCCACTGCCACTGCCACAGCCACAGTCACAACCACAGCCACAGCCACAGCCACAGCCACAGCCACAGCCACTGCCACTGCCACTGCCACTGCCACAGCCACAGTCACAACCACAACCACAGCCACAGCCACAGCCACAACCAGAGCCACACCTACACCTACGCCTACGCCTACACCCACTTCTACATATATATGTCCACACACACACACACACACACACACACTATGTGATCAAAAGTATCCGGACATATATATGAGTTATAAAATCAAATTATAATTTATTTTGTTTGGCTTCGAATTCTGTTTACTTCTAGATTTTTTATGTATTTCTTGTTTCATGTTTTCTGTACATTTTACCGTCAAAACTCCGCATTTTCAGAAACGGTCAAACGCCATTTTCTCAAAAACGGCTACAATTTTTTTCTTCAAACATTTCGAACGGAGGGTGCCAATTGCACTCTTTAATATTATGTTAATTTAATATTAAGTTCAATTTAATATTAAGTTCATTTCGGTATATATTCTGTTTTTTTTCCAAAATTACACAAATGCAAAATTTTTGAAAACTTTCATTAGCCGTTGATACGAATATTTCAGCAATTTGTGAACTCAAATGTATTTGTGAGGTATAGTACATACCTCAAATGGCTTCAAATGAAGTTTTTCGAAAGATCAAACATTTTCTGTTGAAAAGATCTTCAAATTTCGAATTTACAGTATCGCTGGAACGCCAGTTTCTTAATGACGGCTCCAAATGTTTGTAAGAAAATTGCCATTTATGTCTAAATTATACTTTTCTTTAATAATTTTAAAATAATATTTGCGCTCTACAAGTACGAAACTGAAAAATTTAGAAAATATCAAATGTCAAAGGTCATTTTCTGCGAAGCATGCTTTCTAGGTAATTCTCCACGTCGAGGTGAAATAAAGTAGTCATTTTTAGGCACTACAAATGTGGTTTCTTACGACATCATTTTCACATTTAATACTCAGTCTTTATCAAAAGCCAAAAATAGGTAACCGACTAAAAACGAAAGGTTAATGATAAATTCTCCTACTTGCTCCTGAGAACGCTCCAGAGAGATCCTGCACACAATGGCCGCATGGACACAAAGTAAGTGGCAACAGAGTGTCTCGATAAAAGAAAAACCTCTCTAAGGCCTTGGTCTGCGGTCACGCTTGACCCAGAGCTCGCCAAGCATGGGATTCGGTTTTCTTCGATCTAGACGGTTCCGATGCCGCAAACAGAACTTGCAACTCTGTTTCCGTGAAGTCACTTTTGTAAGTTTTTCATCATACGTTTTGTTTGTTATAGGAATTACTGAAACACCTTGAATGATATTATATTATCGAATAAGGTTAAGTTGTAGACATAAAAAAAATAGTGGGGCTACAAGAGCACATACTTTCTCGCAATTAGTAATGATTACGTATTACTATTTATACCTTATTCCTCTCCAAATTAACACATTTCAGTCAAATTTTTTTGAAAAATTATACATAACCTTATTTTAAAATCTAACTTTAAGAAACATATTTCATTAAGGGAAAACATCTCTAACTTTAATATTTTAGTTGTAGAAAGACACCGAAAAAATTGAACTTTTGCAAAACCAGAATTTTCAACGAACATGAGCTCTGCTCCATTCTCTTGAACGCCCTTCCCATACTATCCATTAACAAAGTTAAATCAAAAACGTAACCATTTTTGAAAATTTTGGAAATGTCCCACGGGCTTCATGTAAAAAATCCCTTAAAATTAAAATTTCGGTTTCTAATTCAAGGCGCGCCACAGCCAGATTGATTGGGGAATATCAATTTTGGAGAAAATCAGCTGAACGACTTAGCCGCGTGTTGTTCAGAGACTGACAGACTGGATAAATCTAGGTTGCTGAGATAAATCCAATTGCTATTTTTTTCTAACATCTGCTTTATTTGCAATTTGTTCTACTCGAACATTCAGCAAATACAATTGTACATACATTAT